ACCTGAGCTGATGTTGTTCACGTGTTTGGGGGCAGTTATTTGCCTTGTTTTTCTGTCTGAGGTCTTTTTTCTTAAATCATTTTTCTTGGGCTCTTTGAAATGTGCCAAGAGGATGATTAATTGCAGAAAGCATCCAGTCTCCGGGCGTGATTTGCGTGTTAATCAGTGAAATCAGCACCGCTGAATCCTGTTACACCTGGACATCAAAGCAGGCCATTAGGGAAGGGATGGAAGAAGGGATGGAAGATGATAGCCAGGGGCCTGGGAGCTGGGGGTGGCAGCAGGCAGGGACAGGGAACCCCGAGGGGGATTTTACACCTGACTCATGGCAATCTGCATCTGGCTGGCAAAATCTGACACTGAAGGGAGGTGACTGCAGGGAAAAAGCTGCCCTAAAAGCATTCCATTATTTCTCTCAGACAGAAGCTGTCTGATGGGAAGTGCTTTGGGACACTGAGCCAGATTTTGTGGTGCCCTCACAGGTTCTGTGGAAGGTTTGTGTCAGAAGAGCCACGCTTTCAAAAGCAGCCCTTGGTGACCATGAGTCCCTTGAACCCCAAAGGATCACAGGATGGTTTGGGTTGGAAGGGACATTTAAGATCATCTCATTCCAAACCCTGCCATGGGCAGGGACACCTTCCACTATCCCAGGCTGCTCCAAGCCCCATCCAACCTGGCCTGGAACATTCCAGGGATCCAGGGGCAGCCACAGCTGCTCTGGGCACCCTGTGCCAGGGCCTCATCCCCTCCTGAGTCAGGAATTCATTCCCAATATCCCATCCATCCCTGTCCTCTGGCACTGGGAGCCATTCCCTGGCTCCTGTCCCTCCATCCCTTGTCCCAGTGCCTCTCCAGCTCTCCTGGAGCCCCTGCAGGCCCTGCAAGGGGCTCTGAGCTCTCCCTGGAGCCTTCTCCTCTCCAGGTGAGCATTCCCAGCTCTCCCAGCCTGGCTCCAGAGCTGAGGGGCTCCAGTGACTTTTCTCCATACAGCAAACAGGAAGGGTGGCACGGGCAGGTGTTATTTCCCTGAAGCTGGACACATCTGGGCTCAGATTGATTTTCTGCAAAGGTTTTTCTTCTCACAGATCCCTGCTCCACATCTCAGTGTCCCTCCCCAGTTCCTGGTGTGAGCACAAAGCCAGGTCTCATTGTGCTGAACTAGAATGTCAGGTACACAATTCAAGTACTCAAAAGCTGGGAAATGAAGAGGTAAGGACTCACTCATTTTAATTATTTCCACAGCATAACCACTTACATGACTTTTCTTGCTGAGAAGAAAAAGTCTTTTCCTTCTCTGAGCTACCTAATTCCAACTCAGACATACATTTCTCTGTATTTTTGTTGGGTTTTTAAAAATCTTTTTAGTGTTTTGTAATTATTTTTTTCCCTTTTTT